TACAGCATTATGAATGCTTAATTACTACCTAAAACAAATTTCACTGCATGGGAAATTGAACATTTTATTGTCATTGTATATTTCTGAAAAGAATATATAAATGTTATTTCAATTGGCATTCTGTTTCTACTTTTTCTCCAGAAAATAACCTGTTATATGTTTTATTTAAAAAATGTGTTGTTAAATGTTTGGAATCCCAACACTCAGATAGCAACAAAAACCTGAGTAGATGGATTTCTACAAGCATACACTTCTCCAGCAAAATGTGTCTTTAATAAAATTTTCCACTATGTCCCATCATCTTCTTATATATAGATGCATTCACATATCTACACATGTAAATGCACAAATATATTTATATATACATATGTGTTAGCAGGATATAGAATCGAAAAAAAATGTTGAGAAAGGTAACAATGTGGAAAATATATATATATGACAAAATGGAAAAGCTTTTTATTGACAATGCATTTCATCTTCATTAGGCAAGCATTTTCAGGTTAGAATTTGTCTTTCATTCTGACCTGAAGACACCTACCTAACTACCTAACAAAGGCAAAACACATGGTCAATAAAAAGCTTTTCCATTTTGTCATATATATATATATATATATATATATATACAAGCACACTTGCATACAAATAATCAAGAATAAAAAAAAATAAACTAGGAATCATACAAAAAATATTGCATGAAAAAATGAAATTTAATTTTTTTCTATCTTCTATATGTCAAGTTTAAGATATTTGTTGGAAATAGTCAAATTTGATCCACAAGCATTAATGAATCATTCAGTGTTCAAATATAAAGTATTTCATGCTATAAAATATGAAAATATCCACCCCATTAAATAACGCTCATAAATATGTCAGGTCTTTTCATAAATGATCTGGCCATTTAAAATCAACAGAAAAATAGTCAAACTTGGTCAATGGTGACACAGTCCACTTTAAAGCATTCCTCTTGGAACCTCACACATTCATCTCAGTATCTCTTCCACTTGAAAAATCTGAAAACTCCTTTTTGCAGGATTGTCATGAGCAGCCCCATTGCATTCTCCTTAATCACGCCCACTATCTGAAATCTTCCTTTCAATGCTGATAGTCAAAACTCACAGGGAGTTAAATCTAGATTGTATGAGGGCTAACAATGTTGATGCCAAAATATCCTGTACAAGACTTTATCAATCTTCTCACTTGATCATTGCAAATGCAAGAAAATAATGTAGTACTTAATGGCATCTTACTTCTCATGAGAAAATGTCTGTTCACACATGTCCAGTAAGGTTCCTTTGGATTATCTTAAGGCTGCATAGCTGGTTCATATTCAAAAGGGCTGGGTAACAGATATTGTATAAGATGTCAGTTAAAAATTATATTTTTAATCTATTTAAACATTTAATGTTTAGCAAAATGTATAAGATTTACTTTTAAAACTGTTTTTGTGAAGATAAAAAATGTCTTACACAAGAGTTATACTTTCAAGAGAAACAACAACATTCTCTTCTCTGTTAGCCATTATGAGAGATTTTGCCAAAGTATCTTAAGATAGGACACAGAAAGAAATGGATCCTTGTGTTTCACATTAGTATAAAGTGAACACAAGCAGTCTCTGCTAGAATTTAAACTTGTTTTGCAGATACTGTTTTCTGTACTGATAACATAATGCCAATTTGTTAAATTGCTTTTGGTGTTTATTCATATCCCAGAACAATGAGTAAAAGAGGCTTTTTCTATCTGGTGTTTGTGTTGACTTTGCATGCCTTTGGTATTTCATTTCTTTTCTACTTTAAGCAGGGCACCACAAAATAAGAAATATGTGTGTGTGTGTGTGTGTGTGTGTGTGTGTGTGTGTGTGTGTGTGTGTGTAGGGGGGAGGGTACTAAATCAGATATTAAAGAGTTGGGGGTATATCAGATACTAGGTTTTAAAGATTTCTGATTCCATATTTTTCATCTGATCCTTTCATAAAATGTACATTTTTTAGATATATTATTCTACTGTAAACATTTATTTTTTAATTTTATATACATCATTTTTTTTTGCTTTTCACTTGTACTTATTTTCTACATTTAAACATATAGACTTTTCTGCATTTAACACTTCTATGAAAGTTTTAAAAACTAATATTTCAAAAAAAAAAGAAAAGAAAAGAAAAACATAAAATGAAGGTTTTCATATTTTTAAAATTGATAACAAATTTTAGACAAGTGATAGAGTTCAGCTTAATACCATTGTTATACATAGATTGAAACCAAAACAGTTTTAGTTTTCTTATGTTTAGTTCTCAGCAAAAAGTAGTGCCATCGGTCTCTATCTTTTATCTTTTGATTGCTTTGGCCACCTTTCTCAATAACTTCATTTATTCCATTTGAATTTGATTATATTTTTGTATTCCTTATTTTTCATATACTTACTTAAATAGTCAGAAGTCACTTCTGTTTGGAGGATGATGTGAATGAACATCAAAATAACATTTTTTCAGGATTCTCTTCATCATGTAATCATATTTATTTTTAACAATGTTTTACTTTTACTATAATTTTTTCTTTTGTCATAGTAATTTATTGCATATTAATAAAAAAAGTGATAATCATTCCATCTCTTTCTCAAGTATGAATTCATAAGAAATAAACAAAATTGGTAACTAACTATATTTTGAGGGGCATTATATGTCAAGGCAGACATTCATACAAGCACAGAAAATAGCATTAAATAATTATTTTTAGAGGAACTCATCATGTTGCAATGGTTAATAAACTGGCTGGGCATCATTAACAGCAAATTCAGTCCTTACTGGTTGTTTCATATTTCTGGTATTGTGCCAACAATATTATTTAAATAAATTGTGAAGTTGTTCCTTATAGTAAAATTGTTTATATATTTCACTTAAAAGGTTTATGTTATTAAAAAAAACAAGTGAAAAAAGAATTCATTGAGATTTTATGTTTTATCATGTGAAATAAAAAATATCAAACTTATTTTAAAGAGTAATAATAAAATAGTAATAGTATGAATTGTCTTCTTATAACTAGCAAATCTTTATCCAATTACTACAGATGAAAAGGAAAATAATATAAAAATAACCAACAAACAGGGAAAAATAATTCAGAGACATTTTTTTAGGTATAAGGGCAATAGAAGACATTAATCAACCCTTATAATAATGGTTGTCAGCTGTGTTTAGTCACGTGACAGCCCGCCGTTCAAAGTGCCTTGTCGCGGAGTGATACGAGCAAGGTCAATACGATTGGCGGCCAAGATGGAAGGCGATATAGAGCTGGATATTTGGCATGGAGATTGGGGCTTGCCTACAGTCGAGCCTAAATGTTTAGCTGTGCTGGTAACATGAATTTTAATTTACTTTTCCGTCTTCTTTCATATGTTGCAACATTATTTCAAAATACCACTGTCTATTTTTCATGAATGCATAAGAAGTCCTTTAAATCGACTGACCGGCGGTTATGATGGTCTTCTTTTCACCTGTTTTTAATTTGATTTTTAGTTCTACTTATTTATTTACTTATTAATGAATTGTCTTCTTAATGTTGCAACATAAAAATATAATCTCTGTATGAGTTAGGTACCACATCCGCTATCCGAGTAAATAAAAGTAACCCGCTAAAGGTACTTTCTCACGTGCAATCGGTGAGAGAGCTGCTTCAGCTTAGCTTACGGGAATAATGGTGTTACAATTGCTTTGGGAAGTAAAGATGATCGTTAGAATAATAATCTTTCTGACTGGTCAAAGTTATTTCTTATTGAATTCGTAATTGTGCAAGGTTCATTGTGAAGTAAATAATATAAATTAAAATCCCAAATTTATTAGGCCATTTATTTGGTCAGTAGCATTTTTAAAAAGAAAAAAAATTTCCAAAGAAGCTGATTCCAATTTCTTCTTTTCTGGTTTTATTAGATAGACATCCCTTAAATTTTATGTTGATATAAACAGTAAAATATTTTCGTTGTATTTTTAGTAACCCGTGTATTAAATCTATTTTTCTTTGAAGTAAAATTCATCGATTTTGGCTCGTCTGAGCATCCGTAACCTTTAATTCGAATAGCTTCACGTTCTCAGGTATTGGTACCTATGTTAGTTAAGTAAGTAACCAATGTGTGTCATTTATTTTCGTTGAAAATAGTTATGTAAACATTTGGCAAAGGGATAAAATATCGCAAAATGAACAGTAACTAATTATCATTTGATTTATTAATTAACCCGAGGTATCTATTTTTTTTTAATCAAATTTTTGTTTTTTTAAAGGTGTCATTCATCCTTCAGAAACCACGATAAAGCAAAATAAATAAATAAAATTTATTTAAAAAAAATAATATTTTAGAGTACGAAGATTAAGAATTTACAAAAATGTAAACTTTAAGTTAATTCTGTTATTCATTTTTTTTTTTTTTTTTTTTTTTTTTTGTGGCCCATTAACTTTTCCTTACAGATCACATAGCAATATAATTTGAATTAAAATTTGATTTAAAATATTCAAACTTGGCGATAAAAAAAAATGTGAGGCGGCACGTGGAAACCTGTCCGGATAATTATCCGTTTTATCCTCATCATATTTATAATTAAAATAAATTATTTTGAATGGCATCACGAACTGAACTATTTCCTGTATTTAAAAAAAAAAATTTATTCGTAATAATCACGAACCAGTTGTCATTTAAACAAAAAATAAATAAAAACTTAAAAATATCGTTTTTTAGTTTGTAAGGTTACAACATACATTGATTTTTATTTTTTACTTACTACAATGTGGTAATTGTTTACATAAAGAATGATGAATTGACCATTTGTTTTTAAAAGTGACTTTCACAGTCACATTGAAGAATTCCGTATTAATCACAAAATTTACACTTGGTTAGTGAATTAATTGGAATTTAACTTACTTAACTAGTAGTTATTTTTAGTAGTTTCTCGAAATAAAGTATTAATTAAATAAAAAATATATTAAAAAAATGCAGAATTAACGTAAAAAATATATCCTCACTCTAGTGTTTATGTCATTAGCTTTTTTTCTTTAAATGAACAATAATAACAACAGCATGGATATGTAATTGAAGAAAAACTGTAAAAAAAATCATATGTTGCAAATATAAAGTTAAACTTTGCATATAATCGTCGACATATTTTAGAACTTCTGTATTTATGATGGGACTGACTGGGATCTTAAACATCTATTACATTTTATTTTTTTAATCCAAATTAATTAAGTAAACAAACTGCTTTAAAATTAGATTACTTAATGTTTTTAAACTTTTTACTTCTTGCATATTTATCTTTATAAGCACTTAAATGTCATAAAATTCATTTATTAGTTGTCACTATTCACTGCCTTATTTTCTCGCGGTCATTTGTGAAAATGGCGGTTTTACAAAAATTTCAGATTTCTTAAAAGGAATTTGCATTAAGGTATATAGAATATTGTAAAAAGGTATATAATTAAATTTCAGTACTAATTCAAAATAAAAATATTTAGTGTAACTCAAGAAGAAACAAATTTACAAGAACCTGAATAATATTTTTTCATTTCAAAATCTACAAAATTTGAGTACTTCAACAAATTTTATTTAATCCAATCCATGAGTTCCACATATGTTAATGATAAATGATGGACTTTTTAAAAATAGTTTTAGGAAATATTGTAAACACTAGATTTTTGTTTACAGTATTTACATTAGTCGGACTATTGTCCTCATCTTTATCATAATATTTGTCACAACTTTAAAATTTGTACGCTCCCCGCCTTCTTCAATTGGTTGGAATTTGAACTGAACCCTTTATTTTGATCACTGGGGTAGACTTTCTAATTCCACGTGCCATGTTTGATGGATGTCAGTTATCAGTTATCTCCTGCTAATTTTCCCTCTGAAAGTTCTGTGCCACTTATCCACTGTGCCATGTGTCCTCAAGGACACATGGCACAATGATAAAAAAACGTTGGTTAGATCCAGTGACAGACCCAAAGAAGGTGAGTTCAATTCCTGGTTAAGGCAGTGGAGAACTTTCAGAGGGAAAATTAGCAGGAGATAACTGATAACTGACATCCATCAAACATGGCACGTGGAATTAGGAACAGTCTACCCCAGCGATCGAAATAAAGGGTTCAGTTCGAAATTCCAACCACCTGAAGAAGGCCGGAGCGCATAACGGCCAAACGTTGTGACAAATATGGCTTACAAAGATGAGGACAATAGTCCGACTAATGTAAATACTGTACATAATACCTCATCTCAGAAATATAGACAAACACTAGATTTTTGTTTGCTTTAAAATACATTAGTCCCAGTTGTTTTTAAATTGCTGATAGAAAATATGTTTGATCCTTAAACCAATGTAAAAATTATAAGTATTAGGTGGCTCACTCTCTAAAATCAATTTGTTGGAAATGTCTATTTGGCTGAAATTGGATCATTTGTAAATATGAATGATTGGAGACAAATCTGTAACCTTTCTTTTTTATTTTTTCATACTACTTTCATAATTTTAGGAAGTATGATTTATCTGTTTACTTTGAAGAAGAGAAAAAGAATGAAAAAAGGGGTCTGATGTATTAAAGATATATAGGAGATTTTAAGTAGGTTAATTTCCTTCTCTTATCTTGAACCTGAAAGCTTAGCTATGTTTGGGCATTTCAAATCTGACTGGTACAATTTACTTCAAATGGCCAAATCTGATATATTGAACCATCTTGCTTAAAGCACAAACTTAATTAAAAATTCCAATCCATTCACTAGAATAATAGTTCTAAAGTTCTGTATCAGTTTATTTTCCAGCTACCTTCAACTTCATCAAAATTATTCTTTTAACATGCAACATTGGAGATATATATTTCAATCAACAAATTGATGATAAAATGTGAAATAATATCTGAACAAAAGTGGGGTCATTTAGACAGTTGTATGGTTTGCCCCTTAAAATAGGCATCCTCAGGCCAGAATTAGATAAAAAAAACCTGAGTGTGAGGAAAGGGTGTTGGAATATGGGGGAGAGGTAATAAAGATCAGCAATGTTTAACCTTCATGCCCACAAAAAAGTGTGAAAAGTATGGCTATTCCCTTGACACCACTATTACTGTATATACTTTTGATGTTCTCGGCAATGTTTATTTACAAGATTATAAAAATGTGTGAACCAAGTAAAGGGTGTTCCAATAACTTGGACCGATTTTAAATGTGACTTAAATATCTAATGTTTTTTTTCTTTTTCTTTCAGATTTAACTACTTAAGTCTTTGGCAATTTCAACTATGGAAAGATTAACAATCAAACAACGTGCTAAAGTTATCAAAGCCTATTACAAAATGGACGTTCAAACAGAAATGCATTTCACACACTTTGCGATTCTTTTGGTCAACATAATCAACCAATTGCAATTGGAATTTGGAAACGATGTAATGTTGTGGAGATGTTCAATTCCTGCACACCATGATGAATAGAGGTGTCTGGATTTTTAGCCACATTCTCATGCACTGCAGCAATGTTTTCAGCTGAACACTGTAAACAAGAATGCAATGGTGTTTTCACATCTGCCACCGGCCCATTTTGTTTAAATTTGCGAACAATTTTTCCAATTGCACTCTTGAAACTTTGACATGTTTGATTGTTAATCTTTCCATGGTTGAAATTGCCAAAGACTTAAATTGTTAAATATGAAAGAAAAAGAAAAAATCATTAGATGCTTCAACTTAATTCACATTTAAAATCTGTCCAAGTCATTGGAACACCCTTTACAATATGATATTTATTATTTACCATTTTATAAAGAAATAAATTTGAAAAGAAATCTTTTTATTTAAAATTTATAAAAAATTATTGAAATATGTCAACCAAATACAATGCAATATTTATTTTGAAAAAGTTTAAAATTTAATTAAAAAAATACCTAGAAAATCTGCCATCATTAAATAAGGAATCTAATAAATAAATAGTAGGTATCTCTAAAAAATAACAAACTTTAATATTCTTAAAGTATACTACTTTTAAATGTTGCCACATTCCTAATGGATGTCAGTACAAATTTGAAATTTGTTTAGGGTCTGTGATTAGTGTTTCTTATGTAGAGTATAAATATGCTATTTGGTAATAATTCATCAATTCCATTTTCTGCACTGCTGTTATATTTCCTGCATGTTCTAACATATCTATTAGTAATAGTAGTACTTCTTTAATTTGAGAAAGTTTTCTTCTATGATTTTAATTTAGATGTGACAAAATGTCATGGAAGAAAACTTTTTGTTTAACCTGTATGGGATGTGTGTATGTATATATATATATATATATATATATATATATATATATATATATATATATATATATACACACGTACATACACACCCACATATTCAAAAATAAGCACACTTGTCTACTAGTGTGGTTAATCAATCCTTCTCAGTGGGAGAAAAACTGGCTGGTTATATTCAATGGCTCAAAAACCATACTTGTTGCTTTCCATCAGACCTCAAACTGGCACCAGTCATGATGAATGGATGTTCCCTTTAGGGAGGCCTTGTATCTTGAGTGACTATTGGGCCTTAAACTCAATCCAGACCTCAAGAGGAACTCAAACATACAAGTCATCACTAAAGGTGTAGGTAAAATAATTGGTTTCCTGTACCACTCCAGGAAGTACCTAACTTCTTGTGCTATCCTCTACCTTTACAAGAGCCAGTCCTAAAATTGGGTACTGTTGTCATATTTGGGCAGGATCTGACCAGTCCTCACTTTCCAGTCTTGATAGAGTCCAAAAGCATTTCTGCGTCCTTGTGGGTGATAAATTATTTTCCACCTGGCAACCTCTTTCTCACAGATGAGATGTAGCAAGCTTTTACTGCTCTATTGCTATTTCCATGAAAAGTGCTCAGATGAACTACATTCCTTAGTTCCATCAGTTCTAACCTTTATGGCACCCACCATGTCGCACACATTGTAGCAAACCACCCTCATTCTCTCCGTATTACATTGGTGAGAAGTAAGTTCCAGCTTCTTGTAAACCACTGCTCTGTGGAACTGAATCCCAAGAGAATACTTTCCCCGATCACTGTAATCTTAACCTGTTCAAGTTTAGGATTAACCGTTATCTTCTCCATACATCTGCATAAACTGTGCCTCTTACTCCATAACCCTCTACCTCAAGTGGTTCCTGGGCCTTGTACAGGGTGTACTTCACTGTAAAAAAAGACCCCTGCTCAAGCACGGTTGTTTTTTAACAAACACCCATAGAGCCTACCTGTGTTTTATACTGTAACTATGCTGAACAGACCTTAGTTACAGTTTCTGGGAGAGAGCATATAATATTACCTGATCAGCAGTTTGAACAAGGCCAGTCTGAAACCCTAAGCTGTGATATGGTTTTCAGGCACTTTCCAATGGTAGCATACATATCACATACATATAAAGCTGGATCAAGTCTGTAGCTTAATATGGAGTCATCTGAATTTTGATTTGAAATTTAAATTTTCACTGTATAATGTTTGCGATTAATATTCCCCACAGGATTAAATTCATTGACAAAGTAGAATGTTATATTGAAAAATAAATATTTTTTGCACAAAATAAATATTATTTCATTACTCTGTTGTAGACTTACTGATGTACCTACATACATATATATAACTGATAGTTGCACATGAACTTGCAATCATATTCTATAATTATTAATTTAAGTCAACCAAGTGGTAGGTATAAGAAGCCAATCATGCAAATGGAAAGGCTGTCTGCCTACTTTCCTTGACTATCAGTATTTAAAATCATGGCTTTTACCTAGCACTGGCAGGGAAATATGTAACTGTTTCAGTCATGAGGTAGACCACCATACCACTCATATTTATGTAATTATTAATATACAGGGTGCGATGGATAAATTTTCGTCTAAATTATGCAAAAAAAAAATACTGACGTCTCATTTTAACAGATATATTTACCAAAATTACACAAAAGTATCTTTAAATACTAAATAGTAAATTTATTAAATAAAATTGCCATTGGCTTCAACCACAGCCTCCAGACAACTTTAGAATCTCATTCAACTATTCTGCACAGTCTCCTTGTTTAAGTTAGTGAATACTGTCATAATCCTTGTCTTCAGTTCATTTTTGGTGTTACAAGGAGTTTTTTTGGTCTCTTGCCCAACTGTACCCCACATATAATAATCAAAGGGGTTGCAGTTTGGGGAGTTATGTGGCCAGATGTAAAGGCTGATGTGGTCAAGAATTGTCTAACAGCCATGAAAGGGTTCTCCTGCTTGTGTGGCATGGTACAGTCTTGTTGCCAGGCATATGGTCTTCCAGCAGTCACTCTCTTGACCCAGGACAGCACTACCTTCTCAAGGCATGATGTAAGCCTCTGTGTTGAGTCTGAAGTCCTGTGGGAAGATGAATGAAGGCATAACATCGCCATTAGTAGTGATCACTCCAAACACTATAATGTTGATTGGACATTTGATTTTCATCACTCTCAGTACATCTTTTGAGGACACAGCAAGCTAATGGTCTTTCCTCTTGTCCTTCATGGCTTGGGATAAAAATTGTCCCTTTCTCATCTTGTATGAGAAATACTGAATGTTTTCATGCACCAACTGCCTTATAAGAAACTCAGACACTCCTGTGTCCTTGGCTGTGGAACTGATTGACTTGGAGGGATCATTGTCAATCATGGCCTGGATTTCACCAACAAATTTGGGAGTGCTTTTCTTATCAGAATGATCAGAATGAGTTTTCTGAGCTGCCACATCTTTGTAATCACCATTAGACTCATCCAACTCTTTCCAAATCCTCTGTGCTGTCCTCAGATTGACACCCAAACTCTCTGAAATGTTTGTATTGGCAAGAATGCCAAGCAGTACAACATGCTGTTTCTAAATTTCTGGCGGAGTGAATTACGTCATAGTGCTCTTTTTCTCACAGATGGTGCCCACCTGACCCTGCTATACCTTGCAGTTGACAAAAACAATGTGCATACATGAAATTAAAAATATAAAATGGCGACAATTTACCCATCGCACCTTGTATATCCTATTAATTTCTGAGACTAATTTGGGAGACATGAAAATATAACCTTGTTTGGTGTTTATTCTTTATGTATTGGCTCAGAAGAATTTGTATATTATTGTTTTATTCCATAAACTGAAGCCAAGAAAATATTCAATGATTGTTTATTATTTTTATTTATTTTTTTACATTTTGTGTAATTTTAGACTTACTGTAAATTCTCAGGAGTTCCAGTAATTGTTAGAAAAACAGGAAATCCCCTAAAATCTCCCTCTGGTAAGAACTGAATGTTTTTTTTTTTTTTTTTTAATTTAATCATTTATCTAATCATTAATAAAGTCTGGTATTGCAATCCAGATAAACTTTTATGTCTGTGACCATTCTTTCTGTTCTACAATGTCATCATATTGTTCTTGTAGAATCATATCATGAGATCTGAAATTTTACAAGCAGATTAATGTATTTGGTGAGCAGGAAGTATACAACATTTGCCCAATGCCTAGATATAAACTTGTACACATTCATTTTTATACTAACTAATTGAAGTCTAAACTGTTTTCTTTCACCAAAATGCCGACAAGACATTGTCATGACATGAACTGGTTTTGGGGCAACTACAGTCATTGTTCCATAGTAGGCTATACCAACATGTCACTGTGTTAATCTTCATGAAAAATGCAGTTTCTTACTGAATGTCAAATCAACTGTCTTTTCACCAGGCGAAAGTTTTTATAATAAATAGCACAATATTTATGGTCTGTATTGGCTACTTTTATTGTTCCCCAGTAAGGAAATTTTGCCAACTATTTGTCAGTGATGGAGACGATGACAGTAAATTGATCTGTCAAATATATTGTATTTCAGAAATATATATTTTTAACAAAATGTGTGGTTGGTTGTTAGATCTTTTTTCTTTCCCTTAATCTTAAATTATTTTCCTTTATTTTACACATACATGTTACACCTACAGAACCTGTTCAAACTACTATCTACTGTAATTTTATGAAGTTTAACAAAACTGTTCAAGTATTGTAAGAAAATGACTCATGGTAACAAAATAAGTAATAAATAAATGGCAGAACTGCCCAACCAAACAGATTTGATAAAGTTTGCAATAAACAATTACAAGGAAAAGAATAGGGCAAAAAATAATATAAAATAAGCAAACAATATATGCAAGGCAAAGCAACAGTAATATGGCAAAAAGTTCACAAACTTTGGAGTTGACGCACAAGAGCAAGTTCAGATGAGTGAATGTAGAATTCTGACTTCAAGACAAGACAGACCAGGACTGAGTCATATGAAATCAAGAACAGGTCTATTTTTTTTTTTTGCTAAGAAGAAATCCTAGCATGCATTTGTGTGCTTCTACCTATAAATTGGGGAGGGGTAATGTGTTTTGTACTCATTCCTAGTATAGATTGGAATCAACAACTATAAATTAAATAAAACCAATGCTTTCACAAATTGTGTAGATTGATGGGAAGACCACAAGATTGTGATAGATTTTCCTCATGGCATCAGTTGGAAAGTTCACCTTAATTGTTGACATTCACTTATTAAAATATTGCTTATTTTATTGCAATTAATTAAATGTTACTTTTTTCCTCTGTTTCTATTCACAAAAATACAACAAAAATCTTCAGAAGCAAGATTTTTTTTCTGGCATGTGTAGACCAAATATAGGAAATGCAGCTGTCAGGTTGCCAAACATGTAGGCCAGCCTTGGCAGTATCAGACTGTTGGAACAAATAATCAATTAGACATATATAATGAAAAAGAATAGACAGCTAGAGAGAAGTTAGATAAATGTAAATTAAATTTATATTTTCTAAAAACAGAATATGCTAACAGAATATAGAAATGTATTACATGGCTTCTCTCTGACCCTGAAAATGGAAACTAGTGAATGTTTATTTGCAAGTCAGGCATGTCATGTTACAAAGGACTCTCTACCCAATACTTTTTGGTGTCTACAAAATGTTTGTCCATTTCTAAAATCAGTGTTCTGCTGATTGATCCCAACACAGGCGTTTAGAGGACAGAATAAAAGTTTAGTGTGAATTTCAGAAAGAGAGACATTACATTTGGTACTTAAAAGATAAAATAATGAAAATGTTAATCTCTTTTAGCACAGAGTATGTTAAGCTAGTCTCCCATAACTACTGTCTTGTCAGTAATAACTAAAAAGTTGTTACATCCATTGTCAGCCTTGTTGAAGTCCAGCATGAAAACTCTTAAATTCTCGAAATTTATGAAGACTATTTTGGGGACTTTGGAGAAAATATTCCACTTCAACTTTGCTATTCTTTTATTCTGAATATAATTATTTTAACTTTAAATTCTATTCTACTTTTTGGTTGGCTTACAGCTATATCCTGTTGAAAGACAAGTTCTTGTCTAATCACCAAAGTTACCCAACATTGAGCCTGGTCAGTATCTAGATGGGTGATCACTTAGGAATACTACATGCTGTAAATTTGGATGTGTGGGTGGTGTAATGGCTAGCAGCTCAGAATTGAAAATCTGAGAACCTGTTCCAGTTTCAATTCCAGTTGGGTTCATTACATTCACTTATGTGCAAATATCCTGGGGAAAGGTATAAATTCACCTTTTCTCCTCCTAGCTATGGGTTAATTAGTAGGACTTTTATCAGTAAATCATTATCATCTTCAAGAAGTTTTTACAATCTAAAAATATTTTCTGGCTTTAAATAACTTGCAAAAGGTTGATAAGTCATAAAAAAAAAACAAATCAATCTACTCTTTGGTTAAACACTGGTTGTCTGAAAAATTTTGAATGTTTTCTCATTGTCTTTTTCCATTTAATAAAACCACTTAACTGCTGTTGTTCTCAGATTCACCTGGACCCAGGGTGGTAGCACCTGTTGGAGTCCCAGCTATGAGCAACTAGTAAACCCCCAAACAGAAATCAACAGTACATTTTATAAAATGACAATGCAACACTAAAAAAAAAAAAATAAATAAATAAAAATACATATTTATAGTAAAATTACCAACAATGCATTTTATGATCTACAAATCTATATATTTAAAAAACGTACCTTTACCCTGAGAATATAAAATTATGTACACACTATCTGTAACATCTATCTATATTTCTGTGATGAGGTATTGTAACTATTTATGGACCAGTGGATAAAAGTGTTGGTTGAAGCAACCCAGTGACTTGACCCAAAGAGTTTTGAGTTCAATACTTGACCAGCTCAGGTGAACAAAAATTTGGTGAGTTTTAACTGAAACTGAGATGTCCAGAAAAGGCATGGCATGTGGAACTAGAACAATCTACCCCTGTGAACTAAATAGAGGGTTCAGTTCGAAATTCCAATGTATATCACAGAATACAGTGACTGAAATATCATAAAGATGAGGACAACAGTCCAAACTATGTAAATTGTGTAAAAAGTTATTTGTAGTTGAAAGCATAAAGTTGCATGCAGGACATTTAGATTTCAACATTAAATAACCCATAGAAGTTGATATGCTGCTAAACAAAATCAACCAACCAACCATTTAATAAATCTATGGGTCATAAGATGATTTTTCTGATATCAGTGATGATTTAAATTATTGCACATGTTAACTAGTTAATCTTTTAGAGGATAGAAGTAATTATAAATAAATAGAAATTACAAATAGAAGTTAGATATAAATGCAATAGTCAACTTAAAAACAATTGAAAAGAGATAAATACTTAGTGGTAGAATTACCTATAAGTTATACTTTTTCCAATACTTTAAATGTATTGAGAAATTGTACATATATTTTAAGAAAAAGTCTTTTTCTTTCCCAGCTTGCTCTTTCTATGTATTTTTTCTTTTAATTTAAATCAGTATCAGTTTTTTAAGAATGTCATTTTATCTTAAATGAGTTTCCTGCAACTGGCATTTTCAATGGTTTCCATTGAAAATGACAGTTTCAGGAAGCTCACTTGTGGAATCCAGTCTGTTGCTCTAACTATTGAACCACATTGGCAAGCATTTTTTTTTTTTTTTTTTTTTTGAATTGTGCTTAATAAGGCTCTTCACTTTATTGAATCATAAAGCTTTATCCTCCAAACAATGCTATAATTGCAAAACAATCAGCTGTTGATGGATCAACATTTTATCTCAAACTAATAAGTTTCTTTTGCTATTTTTCCTCTCAATAGAAAATCTCTGTGAAAGCTCTTTGATGTAAATATATGAAATGACTGTGCTATTCAACCTATTGTTACTGCATTGGTTGTATTTAATATAAATCTATATCTATGCATACACTGATTTTTTTTTTTTTTTTTTTTTTTTTTTCCCTTTGGTACTGAAATTACTACCCTGCTGAAGTATTGTGAACAGTATCCGATTATGAATTGCATTTCTTACCTATTTCAATTTAACCTGACTAGATGCCACTGAAGTGAATATACTTTTATTTCAACAATTTAAACAAATATTAAATCTATTCTTTCTCTTTAAAAGCAGAAGAAAGTGATATATAATACTATACATGTGTACTTAGTGGAGTCTGGCAGAAGGCCAAGTTTGAGCACATAGTAAATGGCATTTAAGATTAGGAGTTTCTCATAGTATTATTTATTTGTAACTTTCTCCAAAAATGACATTCTTATCTAACTGGTGTAAGTGAATTGATTATTCTGGCCTACTTGTTTTGGTGCAAGCCAACTTATACTTTCTCTAAGATAATTTTGGGAAGCTAAATCAAGTTGATTTTTTTATTGGTTAACTCCATTTTATTGTACAGAAAAAAAATGATAGCCAAATTTCCCATATTTTCATAATTTTCAAACTGATTCTGAATTACTCCTGCAAAACTGAATTATAAATGTTATTGAATTCTGGATTAGTCAAACACCTGGTTTTTGTCGTGTGATGATGACATGTTTCTGTATATCACTGCACAAGCTGTGATGACATCCAAGGTCAGCTGTATGCGAATACATCGGTACTCGCTATGTTCCACAGATTCATCTCGATTATGGTTGTGAACACCATCAACAAAGAAATAAGAACAAATGCTTTTCAAGACACTTGTTAGGCAGGAAGTAGCAAAAAAAAAAAAAAAAAAAAATACAATTTCTCACTTAATCAGCAATGTCTTCCTTCTGCTTTGAGAAAGCAAACTTTTGGTATCTAACTTATCATTAAGTTCTGGTCACAGAAGACGGGCCCCTACACACTCACTCCTATGCACCATTTTAACAAAAAAAATTTTGAAGGCCTGTATTATTATTTTCATGACTAATTGGAGTTTTTCAAATTTGTTTGTGTGTACAGATAGAAGTGGGGGTTATGGTTACATGTCCGCTATGTCATGAACCTGTTTGGTCAGAAGTTTTTTGTTTTAGGTTTTTTCTAGATGGTTTTTCAGTGGGAACAAAGGCCAAAAGATTGTGACAATAATCACCAAGATGAGGACAATAATCCAAGTAAATTTTAGTGTATTATAATAATTGCTCATCTCAAAAATTCAAAGGTTTTCAGAGTTATTTTTAAAATAATTTCCAAAAGATGATTAACACTACAGTTTTATTATTTTTATACTGTTATAGGCCATTTTTTTTTTTTTTTTTTTTAATTATTCTAAAATCATTATTTTGCAGGAGAGCTTCCTGTACTTCGACATGGTAATGAAATTCAGGGTACAACGGAGGATATTTTAAACTATTTACGGGAACATGTGAGTATTTGAGAGTAGTTATTTAATCTACAAACTGAGTTGTAGATGATTTGAGTAGGCCATTTGAGCATCATAATTTTTATGATCCATTAATTTTTTAAATAGTAAGGCAGATGGGCCAGCTTACACTACATCAAAAATTGATGCAACAATATTTTTACCTTCATTTATTATGACTTGTGTGCATGTGTGTCTGCGTGCGCAGTGCAATGAAATTTTGAAGTCAGTGTTTGCATAATATGGCTCAGTAGTGTGCATTATGTCTCCAATGAGATTTGAAATCATGACACCTCTCTTACAATATAAGTTACAGACATCATATAAAATGTATGATAATAAACAGAAAAATCCATTACTGATTTAATAAATTTAATCATAGAATCCCAATATTGTAAATAATTTTTTTTAAATATTTATAATCTCTTGCATTGGAAGTAGACAAATTTTATAGCAAGATTAAACTGTTACACATTCATATAAAAAAAATGAAGATATTTGCATGAATACCTTCCTTCCTTCAAAGTAATAATTTTGAAAAGTGCTTCTTAAATAGCAATGATTGATTATATTTACTTGTTTTTTGTATTTCTTTTTGCAGCAATGGGGTTGTGATAACAAACTGTCCAATATTCAATGTGCTGACACAATAGCATTCTGTTCTCTTCTCGAAGAGAAGCTGTTGCCTGCAATTGTAAGCTTGTTTCTTTGTCATTTTCAAAAATCAAAACATTGCCAAATTGACTATATTTTAATTTCTGGGATTATATATTTCAAAGTCTCGGGTGAAAATCTTTGTGATATTTTAATGAATATTTGCATATATTTTGCAATTAAATAATAAGCTCCAATTAAGTAAATTCAAAACCAACTGGTGAGTTAATATTTTTAAGATGTATTTTGAGTTCTGTTATAGTTTTTATTCACTGTTATTTAATAATTTTCTAAGATGTAAAAGATTTTGCAATCTTGGATTGTCATGTCTACAAAAAAATGAGTATCAAAAGGATTTTTTTTTTTTTTTCACTTTTGATATTTTGATTTTTTTCTTGTGGGCAAGATTGCCAAAAATTTTATATTTATGAAAGTAACGTTATGCTTTCCAGTATAGTAACATTGACTAAATTTGTACATTTTTACAGTAAAGTTCACCTTGTACAAAGTCCGGGGGCCACTCAAGGTACAGGGTTACATTAAGAGGTAGTTTATATGAATAGGAGGAGTAGATAACTTGGTTAACTCTAGACTTGAACAGGTTAAGATTGTAGAGATCTGGAAAACAACCTGTTGGGAGTCCGTTTCACAGAGCAGTGGTTTGCAATAAGAAACTATTTGAGTATAATTTACTTCTTGCCGACAGAATACAGAGGAAATGTGAATCGTTTGTTACTATGTAAGTGGCATGGCGGGTCCTAGCCATCAAGGTTATATCTGGTGGAACCAAGGAATGACATCTGTCCAAGCACTTTCTATAGAAGTAGTGATAGAGCAGTAAGAGACTCACCATATCCTACCTGTGGGAGAGAGAGCGGTCGGAGGGTGGAAAATAATTCTTCTCCAATAAGGAGTCGGAGATGATTTTGAACTCCATCAAAACTGGAAAGTGAGGATTGGGCAGCTTGCACACAAATATAGCAACAGTACACCATTTTTGGCCTCATCTACCTCTTATAAAGGTAGAGGATAGCATGAGGAGTCCGGTACTTACTAGAGCAGTATAGGGAGTTGATCATTTTACCCACATCTTTAGCAATGGATTGTATATAAGAGTTCTATTTGAGGTCAGGTGTGAGTTTGACACCCAGTATTCTTTCAAGACACAGTGCTTTCTTAAGGGATCATCTGTTCATTGTGACTGGTGGTGGTTATATATTATTTGCATTTGACTTGTAAGTTACTCTTTGGGTTAAAGTAAAATTGACAAAATATTCAAATAAAAGACAGGAATAAACTAGATTTTAATTATAAAAAAGTGTTTTTGCTGTTGTGGTTATTTTTACGTCATACTTAAAATGCTAGCACTTACTTTAGCATCTTAAAATGATAAAGTTATATAATTTTAATGGTTTACGGCGTAACAGGTTATATGAATTAAGCTAGATAACTCTTTTTCGACTATTATTACTTCCCTTAGTAGCTCCCTCCTCCCACCATCAATCTTTTCGTTCTTTTTTAACTTTATTATTATTTTTACTGCTGTTGTCTGTATAATCCTTTAATTTATGAACTTCATACCTGATCTGAGGTAACTCATCATTTAAAATATCCTCTTCATTTATACCCTAGTAATTTATATATTAATGCAATTTTATGGGAGTTTAATTTTGAATTAATAAATAAAACTTGTGTATTTTTTTTAAATAGTTTGATGTGTATGATAAATTTTACAGGTGTACAGATTACTTTGATAATTTTAAATGATACACTTATTTGTACTGTAATCCATACAAAAATATTTCTATTTAGAAAGCTAATGACCATTTAGCAAATTTTTCTACAATTAAATCATTAATTATTTAAATACGTTGATTTTATTGTTGTTAACATTATTATGTGAGCCTCTTGTGATTAGATCAATAGAATTATAAAGTATAGATAGTATTTCTCTTTTAAATGCCCATTTTCATTTGGCCTTTTCTTTTTCTCTTTTCCTCCCAACCTTTTTTCTTTGTCTCTCTCCTCCTCTCTTGTATACATAAATTTGGTAAATGCAAACCAGACGACAAATTTCCATATATACATCGGCATCATGAATTAGCTAGACATTAAATAAGGATCAACTAATGCTTTTCTCTTATACACTGTATCTAATGTAACCACAAATGTATCCATATTTTTCCCATTGTCTGGTTTTTTAATTTAGGTCAAAGAATTGGATGTTGATTTATACAACTTGTATTTATTGAATCTCACTCCTTAAAACCATTATTTAACTTCTCTCTTTAAAATTTTATTCCTCACTTTCACTTTAGGCACTTTTCTGTTCGTCATCTTTCTTTACACCTCTCTCTAGTTCTTTCATACATTTTCCACTCACCTTTGTTTCTCAATCCCACATATACACATCCTGGGTAAGACGATAAACTACACCCAACAGCAAGGCCTCTGATCAGGAGGTTTTGAGGAACATGGAGTCATCTCTTAATTGCTGGTGTCCCCAGGTTCACCCTGACCCGGGGTGGTAGCAGCTGTTAGGGTCCCAGCTATGGGCAAATAGTTAACCCCCAAACTGGGGTCAAAACACTATGAAAGTGTAAAAATAGGTTTTAATACCAAAAATACTTTGTAAAAAAAAAAAAAATTATTATCAGAGATACAATTTTGGAAAAAATATATTACCAGCTATACATTTTGAAGAAAAAATATTACCAGATATATATTTAAAAAAAAAAATATTACCAGCATTAAAAATTTTGTTGGCATTAAATAACCCTTTGAGGTTGATATGCCACAAAACAAACCAAACCCACATATACAATATCACTGAAATTTTGCTTTTTTAAACCTGGAGATATATTTTCTGTTTTCTTTTTGATTTTGTAGTTCTGATGCATTGGGTTGGGATTAACGATTTCAATATAATAAATTATAACCATGAAATATTAGTATTTGAGCCTTTTATATTATATTCTTGCTCTGTCTTTGACACAGAGCTCTACCTGGATTTTATCATCTTGTAAAAATATATATATATATAAGTTAAATTTCCCAGAAATAATTCTGAAAATAATGACAAATTGGTTTAAAAATGATAATTGGAAAAAATTCTCAGTTCTTCATCTTCCAACTTTAGTAAAAAGGAAGTTACCAATATCCAGAAAGAAGCTTATGCAGGAGCATCTCATTTTTAAATTTTTGGATTAGGCTACAAAACATTTTGCTTTCATTGCTTACCTTGTTATATATGTATGTTATAAATGTGATGCTATATATTTGGTTTTGCAATGAAGCTAACAGTATATGAAATAAAGGGATGTGATTTTTTTTTTTTTTTTTTTTTTTTAATTTATGATTGACCACCAATAAAATGAACTTTGTCTTCTGTTTACAATTGAAATATTATGAAAGCAAATCTTTTTCTTGTTTTTAATTTTGCAGCTTCACTTATGGTGGATAGATGGCAAGAACTACATTGATCTCACTCGACCAGGTTTTGCTAAGGCATCACCCTTCCCCTTAAACTTCATCCTGCCAGGAAATATGCGCCGTAAAGCAAGACTAAGAATATACTCTAAAAATGGTGAAAATGTCACAGATGGAGAAGTTGATTTGAGAGTATGTTTCATATCCTGTTTTTTGTGTTGTATCTAGTAGTAATTTTTTTTCTTCTTGTTTATTTGAATACAGGAAGAAAGTCTTTTGTATGATGATGCTATTTCAAGAGCTTTTGCCATGAAGCAAAAAAAAAAAAAAAAATAGAATGAGATATGTACAGTTATTAAAAATAAGTAAAAAGAATTTCTAAACTTAAATAAAAATCTTAATATTTTCCATAAATTTTCAGATTTACAAGGATGCAAAGCAATGTCTAAATCTGCTTTCCAAAAAATTAGGAAATGCCCCATTTTTTTTCGGTGACAGGTGAGTTTTTTATATTTTTTCATTTTTTATTTCTCTTTACAAATATAAGAGGGGGCCTAATGATCTGTTATATTTTTTGATAGTTTTACGTCACTCTGGAAATTTTTATTCTGGCTTTGTAATTGTACTTTTTTGACTTGTTATCAGCTCTTTCATCTAGAAAAGTTCCTAGAAAGATTTCATCTTTCAGTGGCTTGATTGTTATCTAGGTTAACAGTGTCTCTCTCTTGAGACTTCCTCATATTTTATCATTTCTGGTGAAACCTTAATAAGGAAGGTCAGTTTCAGTCCACATTTCTTTGGCTGCTTGCATATTGATTTTAAGATTTTGTTTATAGCAAATAGTTAATGTATTCTGATGGTGTCAAATATACCAGTTCTAATAAGGTTTTTCCATGTTTATCAATGTTTTTCATCATAGATGGGTTCTGAAATCTAGACAATGTAGCTGGTACCATGTTGTTATATTCTATAAACATAATGTCCTTTTTGATATGAAGATATAGGTTTAATTTGTGGAGGCATAAAAGTGAAATGTAATGATTGCTTAAGACTAGTAAAATAGTTTAAACTAGTTTAATTGCAAATATGTTGTCCGTTTAAGGTCTTTTAATTTGTGTGTCCCAGCATTAGGCCTAAAAGTATTTCATTTCTCTGCAATTCTTTTTGTAAAGAAAGACAAAATGATTCTGGAATCCCTATTTGCATTAACAACTTGGGGAACAAACAACAAAAACAGTATTCCAACTGACAACTTGATGCGTTCTATACACAGTTCTTAAACCAAACCAGGATTTTCCGACAGTTTGATGAAAGATATCTTGGACAAATTTACAAGCTTGGAAAGAAAATGATTCATATCAAGATTTGAATCCATCTTGTCATTTCCTGTTTTGGGTCTAACACTAGAAGAGACAATTTTCATTAGTAACTCCTACACAATGATACATTGTTGTACTATATTAAACTATCACTAAGTTGTATGTTTTAACAACTTGTGCTCTACTCAGAACTGCACCTACTACACCAGTATGCGTGTATGTACGTGTGTGTGTGTGTGTGTGTGTATATATATATATATATATATATATATATATATATATATATATATATATATATATATATATTTTAGAAAACAATATTTATAATGGTTGTATTTTGGCACTGACTGTATTTGAACTTGGTATCCTATTTGAAGCAGGATTTAATTTTCTTTTTACATACTTCTTTAAGGATTTTCCTCGTGTAAAGAACACATGATTTGAAGTTTCAATTGCTATTAGGTTTTATGGAATGGAGAAGAAAATGAGAAAAACAGAACCAGTAAACTAATAAACAGCCTAAATCTACTGTTTTGGAAGATTTTTATTATCATTATTACTGTAAGTTACAGTTGGTAGTTGGCCTAAATATTTTTAGCCGAAAATTCTAAGTTAGGCCTATACTTACTGTATATGTTACCCCCACCAAAAAAAAAATGGCTACCAAAAAGAGTTTTTAGGCTTGAAAATTTAACCCAAATAGATTTAAGCCTTGAAAATCTTGTATGCCGCAATTTACATTTTTTTTTTTTTTTTTTTTTTATATTCTTCATATTTCAAAAGAATTCATAAGTCAACAGAAGGCTATTTGTAAAACTTATACTTACCAATACTTTACTTATATCTGATTAACAAATTACTAATTCCTTAATAATAGTTGTCTGAATTTCTTTAATGAAAAATTGTCATTATTATAAATTTTTAATTACTAAGGTGTCATCTTGTTTAGACAGGTTAAAAGAAGTGGGTTAAAATTCTGTTTATTCTGCTTGCTTAATAGTCATAGGATATAGAAACAATTTAAATCTGGGAAGTGTTTTAACAATGGAAAGTGCAGTACTGAAATCCAAAAGTGCATTGGGATAGCAAAAGATGCCTTTCAAAAGTTAAGCAAAGTATTAAGAAACAAAGAAAAGAGTATTGTAATATCAGTCCTCCTATATGGCAGTGAATATTAGACAATATCTTCAAAGATGAAGTAGTGTCTTGAAGCAACAGAGATGTTCTACAGACAGATGCTGAAAATACTATGGATTGAATATGTGAGCAGTGAGGAAGTTTTTAAGGAAAGCAGAAACAAAAAGATACATGTACTTAGAATCAGAAAGAGTCATTTGAAATTTCTGGAATACACAGTGAGGTAATAGGGCTTGGAAAATTTGACAATTGCAAGAAACATTGTCTCTAGAGATAATGGAAACTTAAATCAGGAAGAGACAGTTGAAATTTCTATGGCAAATTTGATAATCACAGGTAAGATTAAAGGCAAGAGGGAACAAAGAAAACAATGCCTAACCTATCTGGTGAGCTTGAGTGAATGAATCATGAAGGTGGGGGAGATAGCCAAAAGACAAAATTTATTAAAAGATAGGAAGTTGTGAAGAACTATAATTGCCAACATCCTGAATGGATACAACACATAGAAGATTATTGTAAAAAGCAAGAGAATTTGTCAATCACTTTGGTTCTCATGTTGACACTAGGATTTTAACACCTAGTTTTGTGATTTTTGTGGTATTCTTTTTGAGATAAAAAGGAAGAAAAAACACCAAATAATTTCTAAAGACTGCCAGAAGTAACATTCACTTGATGAGGGCCAAGGAGAGACACTTGGAGAATTGGGTCCAAGAAAGAAGGTTGCCAGAAATTTGCTCCAATTACATTACCCATAGCTGAAGTGAAACACACAGGTACACGCATGACAGAATTAAGTGAGTCAACTCTGAAAAATTGAGTGAAAGTTAATGGGCTGGTTATGATTTTAGCATTTGTAACTAGATTTCTCAAGTCCCCATCTGGGAGTAGAGAAGTTGATTTTTTAATAGATAAGACATTTTATTTAACTAATTTTTCTTTAATAAAACTGTTAGAGTTATCAACAGTGTTGTGCATTTTATTGAAGAAATTCTTATTCCAGCCTGATTTTCAGTGTGGTCTGTAGACACAAAACGGACAAAAGTTATAATAGTTCTAAGTGGAGATTCATTCTTAACTGTGGTATATAACACACATAGAGGAGTCCACACTAGACTTTGTCATCAATCCCAATATAATAAAATTTTGGGAAGCCCAAATCAACCCTATCGAGACAACATATCAACCCCAAGCAAAGAAGAAAAAGTAAGTCGGATGACATGTAAGGTTGGTATTACTCAACAAAGCTAGTAGAGCTAGCAACTGCGGAAGGAGAAGAGACAATGGGAGTGTGGAGGTTGTGGGGTTTGTGTGCGTAGAGAGAGGGTGTGGGGTTGCATTGATATAATAGGAAAAATTTTTTGAAAAATAAATGATTATTTCTGGGGAGGTGTATTTCTGTAGAAACTGAAGAAAATTGCAAGTGTTAACAAAGACAAAAAATGACAACTTGTACAAATATACAGCAATAATAAAGGTAGAATTATTAAACAGATCTTTAACTTCTGTGTTCTTTGGATATCAGACATTTTAGAGTGTTCTACAGCTAATTGCTTTTCCTCTTGTCAAATATTAAAATGAAGGTAATATCTGCTTCTCATTTTTCAGTGCAGAATTTTTATATGTTTGGCTACGTTACAAAATCATGAAAATAAAAACATATTTAGATTATGCTTATAAGTTTTGTATTTTTTTCGCTTCCTCTCTTGGTGGAGAGTGTGAGTGGAATAATGAATAGTTATTTGAAATTAGAAATCAATGAGCTCAGTACTAATTCCAGATGGATTCGTTACATACATTTATGCACAAATACCCTTAGGAAAGGTATGGAACTACCTCTTCTTTCCTAAACTGCATGCTAAATATTAGGACTTGTATCTGGAAAATTATCTTAAAAAAAAAAAAAAATTATTCTTACAATCAAAAAAAAAAAAAAAGAAAAGTTATGGCTTTAAATAACCCACAAAAGGTTGATATACTATAAAAACAAAAATCACTCAATCTCTTTTGTTGTTTTACCAGGCCTTCCTCTTTTGATGCTTTTGTGTTTGGATATTTGGCTCCCATCATGAAGGCCCCACTGTCCAACAATCAGTTACAGAGTCATTTACTTGCCTGTCCAAATCTCACTCACTTCTGCAAACGGATATTAAAAGATTACTTTCCAAATGATATATATGGTAAGTAATTATTAAATATATTTAAATAAGGATTTGTAACATTAGACATCTTTTCCCATTGAACATGTCTGATTTTTTTTTTCTTATTCCATGAAACATGATATAAATTTTTACAAGAGTGTTATAAAGATAAACTAGTAACTGAATTTATATAAACTTTATTCCATTGCATTGAAAAGGGTTTCATTCTTTCTTCTAATATAATATTGATTCTCTCAAGAACAGGTACGTTTTATTTGCTCTGATTGAAGAGATATATGAAGCTTAGCTTAGTCTGACACAATGCCACATAGGATGAATGGGGATAGAAAGATGGTCTCAATCTTCCAAAAGGTGGGCTTAACTGGCTTTATCCTCAGTATTTGAAAAAATCTTGATTTTTACCTTGGCACTGGCATTGGTGGTAAATATGTGACTATCTCAGCCATGATTAAGATAAACTAAAATATTCTCAAATGTAATTTTTATTTGAAGAATATCTTTTGAATAAGTTCAGTCTTTAAGTTTCACATTTCTAGATAATGTGAGTTGATCCAATCTACAAATTGGTTTCCTGTGCAAAAAGTTGAAATCATACTTGAAAATGCATGCTAAACATTACTTATATTGAACTAAAGTTTATTTGGGTTCTTTTTTTATCATCATCAAGGCATTAAATAAGGACATTGTATTATGCTATTAGGATACAAAGTCAAATTTTAGAATTTTCATGAGAGCAAATCCTACAAATTGGTTTTAAACACTAAGATATTTAATTAGTATAAATAAAAATTTCTACATTCAGATTTGTATATTTCACTGTTATCATAGTAACAACAATTATAATATTTATTTTTAAAAAATTGTTTAACCTATATTGTTGAGTAACCTGGTTGATTATGTGAAAGTTTTCAGCTATTTTTAATGTACACTGTCAGATTTTATTATGCAAGTAACCCCCCCCCCTTTCTATCACAGCTGATGCTAGTAAAATTTTCAAAATATATATGAGCACTATTCTTTTTTGAGTTTTAAATTATGTATCTTTTATTAAAAATATTGCTAACTTGTTTTGTTAGTGTTGGGTTTAATTATGCAACATTAAATTTTATTTATAAAGCCACAAAGCATATTTGATTATCACAATGTCTCATATACTTGAATAAATCATTATTTTACATAATAACACATGGCTTATAGTCATTTCATGTTGAAACACTGGTTCTTGTACAATCATCAAATTGAAGCAATGTTGAGCCTGGTCAGTACTTAGATGGGTGATTACTTGGGAATAGCAGGTGCTGTAAGCATGAATGTGCAGGTGGTGTAATGGATAACAGCTTGGAATAGGAAATCGGGGAAAGCAAGTTCCAATTCCAGTTTGGTTCATTATACTTACTAATGTGCAAATACCCTTGGGAAAGGTATGAATCTACCTCTTCTCCCATCTACGGGTTGATTAGTAGGACTTGTATCAGTAAATCATTATTACCTCAATAAATTCTTACAATCTAAAAATATTTCCTGGCTTTAAATAACCTGCAAAAATTTGATAAACTGTAAAAAAAAACAATCAATCAATACATAATAATTTGAACTCCTTGATATTATCTAACTTTCATATATTGATTTTTTTTTTTTTTTTAACCTTTCAACTTTAACATTACTTGCAGCTGTTTGTTGTTGGCTTTTTATTTTTATTTTTTTTTTGCTTCCCAGGGATATGATTTCTTGAATATTGTTTTCCATTCTCATATACATCTCTTTGTAATCTAAATGTGGTAGTTTGGTTGCTTTCATAGCTTTTAACCAATGTTAATATCCTGTATTTTTTCTCTCTGTTTACATTGACAATGCCAACTTCTTCAAATATTTTCTTGCTGGACAATCCACTTCCATTGTTTATTCCCTTTTTAATTTTCCTCAAATATATTTTTTTTCTTGTTCTATTTTTTTTTTTTTTTTTTTTTTTTTTAATATTTTTGATTTCTGTTTTGTTCTTTGATCTCTTTTAAACTTTTTTCCAATTTCCAACATTGTGTTCCCATCACTCATTAACTTTACAACTTTTGAGTTTATATCTTATGACTATCTTTAGATATCTGAAATTAAGAAATAAACATTAAATAACTATACTTTTCTCCAAATACTACAATGTTAATCTCTTTGTTATTTTTTCTTCATATCTTCATAATCTTTACTTCTACCTCTTACGTTCATATCACGCACACCTCAATCAAGGCTCAAAAATCCTTTAGAGATGCACACTCTTATACCACCATATAAGTCATTGTAACTATATCAATGAAAACCAGATATTGTAAACTGAAATTCAATTGGTATATTTATCATGTCAATATATCTGATTATTTAATCAACATTGATTGATTCTGTTGTGAAGACATTGATTTGTTTGACTGTATAAAATACAAGTCCTTTGATGTTGGGGTAAAGTTTTGCAAAACAATTTTTTGCCATGTTCACTCAGTAAATAAAGAGATAAAGGATTAACAAGGCAAGACATGAATTTGTTAATTTTAAATTTTAAACTCCAGTATCTGTTCTTATTAAATAGAACCTTTCTCAGATAAATTTAAAAGAAAATATAACCAGAAATTATTTAACCAAATTGTAATAAAAATATCTATAGAGTAAAAGAATAGAAAAAAAAAGTTATGATTACTGTATGACAAAATTGAAAAAAATGATGTATTTTAAATAAGAGATTATATGACTACAAAAGGGATTTTTTTCAAACCAAAACACACAGTGCATAATTGTTCATTATAATGAATATAACTAGCAATTTCAATCTAAAAAAATGTTAAATTAAAAGGGAAAATAATTCACTAAGATGAAACTGTATAGAAAGTGCACTGATTTCTGAGATTTCTGCAGTAAATTTACATCCAGGTTCTTACGTTTCATCTTAAGTTTTCTGTTATTGCAGTGTGAGATATTTAAAAACAGTGATAAAAACATAAGCATTGGAAAACTGAATTAGATTGGCTGAGCTGTATGTGTAGACAGGTTGGAAACCAAAAATTTAACATCCTTACATCATCGTTGTTTCCCCTTGGTGCTTAATTATAACATACATCCCTCCTCCTCTTACATATTTATTATTACACCAATAAAACATTTACTTTAGTCTGAAATCCTTTTAAAGGATGAATCATGTTACATGGAATTTTTTCCATTTTGTCATTCAATTACACAACATTATTCGGATAGATAGATATTTATTTATCATTCTTCAGTTATGCTTATGTAATATATATGGCTGTGTATATAGTTAGCTAGAACTTAAAAAAAAAAATGCTTATTTTATTTAGTGTCATTGATGATCATATTAAATTAATGCATAATACAGAAAACAAAATGCTTGTCAATGTGAAAGACATCAATATTAATTTCATAAGTCTGTGTTTCAGATGTACTGACACACATACACTATGAATTTTACATTATAGATTTTGATTAAGAAGTTTTAATGTCTATTCTGCCACCTACACACAAAATGTGAGTAAAAATGATTTCTAGTAGTAGTAAGTAAAAAAAATTTTTTTTTTTTTTTTTTTTTTTTTTTTTTTTGCTTCAATCAATGTCACTGCATTCCCCTTGAAAGCAGCAGGCATCTTTGTAGTAGCAGTAGTAAGAGATGGCCAGTAGTGTTTCCATTCATGAAAATACTTGTTTCTTTCCCACCTTTCTTGTTGATGCCAGTCTGTTTTCTCATTGGTTGGCCAGCCCCGGAATCTGGATACAAAGCTACTTGAAACTAGCATAATCCCACCTCCATTGCTTTTAGAATATTGACTGTATCTGGAGACGCATTTATTGACCCCAATCATAGACTAGGATGACTGTGCTTGCACTCCTTTATCGTATTGATATATAGCTGCATAAGTTGAAAATGTATGCACGGATAGTTACGTCCTTTTATGGTAAAGATATCACGCCTGATAGAATTGGATATGCTTCCAATGCTTCTCTCTCTTTTCCTCTACCTCCCCCACAGTCTCTTCCTTTTCATTTTCTTCTAATCACTTTTGCTGTGTTCTTTCTTTTCAAATGTAATTGTATGTGTGCCATTTGTCATTTCAACAATTTTTTCATTTTCTTGCATTAGCTGCAGGAAACCTGCATTATTTTCTTTTCTTCTTTACACTCCCCATCTTCTTCTCCAACTTCTGTCATCCCCATGCATTTTTGGTTAACTCTCTCCTTTTACTGTTTCCTCTCACTTTGATTGGTACTCTGTGTTTTTTTTTTTTCTTCTTTTTTCTTTTTTTCTTCTTCTTCTTGTCATCTCTCAGTCACTGGTTTATTCAGTTTTCTGTAATTCTCCTGTCAAATCTGGTTCATGCTATAATTTTTTTTCTTTTATTTTCACTTGTATTATGTTGATTTTCTTCTTACCTTTAATTGCTCCCACTTTTTTTTTCTTGTCTCCCTTTTGGTACAAGGCTACATTAAAAAAAACACTTGATAAGAAATGAACTCCCTAACAATAGCTTGTTATATAAACTCTTTCTTTAATTATAATCGGTATTTTGTGAATTATTTGATTACTTTGAGCTCATAAGGTTTGGCTCAAATTAGATTTGTTTTAAAGTCTAAGATAAGTATTTGGTAATAAACCTCTATTACTTGTGATGCTGAAGGATTCCATATTCTATGATTAAGCTACACCAGCAAGTAGTATTTGTATGCATTTTGTTCTCTGAAGGTGATATAGCAATCAATGTTTTGTGCTGTTTATTAAAGAAAAGACTTCCATTGTATTCTTATTGCTTAGTCATTTATATGTGCTTCAATTAACACAGAATGTGCAGGTGGTGTGACGGATATCTGTGTGAAAAGGGGAATTGGTGAGCATCCGCTTTTGCACTAATGCCCTTGGGAAAGGGATGAATTTGTTTCTTCTCACTACCCCCAGCTAGAGGTTAAATGGCTAAATACTGGACTTTCTAGCTTTTGGTGGCAACCAGCTTAAGTGAAAGAAAACTGAATTCCACATAATGGAGAAGGCAATGGAAAACCACTCCATTATCTTTCCCAATAATGCATGGCAACACACTGATAATTTAACTTAGCATTACATATTCATTTCCAACATTTACCATATTTAACATACAACTGAAATACACTAATAAACCCAATTTTTAATAGGCACTTTAATTATATTAACATTTCAAGAATTGACTATACTCAAGATGCCATGATGTCATGTATGCAACCAATGAAAACAAAACAACCTGGAATTGAAAAACTGAAACAATGGTGACATATTATTCCACTGTCAAAAGTTTATAATGAAGTTAAATAGTGAAATCTTAAATTTATAAAGAATTTCCTACTTGTTTCTTATTTATTTAATAACACATGAATAAAGTGCAATATATATTCATGTATATCACAGTCACGGATCCCTTAACCCCCGAGGTCTTAATTGCTGTTGTTCCTAGGTCCATCCTGGGTAGCACCCATTAAGATCCCAGCTATGGGTAAATAGTAAACCTCCAAACAAAAACAACACACTAAAAGTATAAAAATACCATTTTTATGGTAAAATTACCAACAATACAGATTTATAGTAAAATGACCAACAACAGATTTTATCTGTACTTAAAGGCGTGCAGTCGTGTTCAAAATATTCAGTGTACAGCACTAAATAACCCATAGAGATTGATATGCTGCTAAACAAAAACAACCAACTGTCTAGGATCACAGGAGCACCACATTTACTGCAGCCACAGCAGCAGTGGTGTGTCTTGAGCAAGACAGCCTGACAGAGCCCATCTCTCTCCAGACTGATTTTGAATCCAGAGATTTCCTTCTTCGAGATTGGTTGCCAACCAAGGCTATAGAACTCTGTCTCTCCTGCCATTTATACTTAGCTGGGGGTGGGGATGGATTCATAACTTTCCCAAGGGTATTAGTACATAAATGAATGTAATGAATTTGACTGGAATTCAAACTTGACTCTTCAATTCTTCAATCTAATTTACTACACATTACTCCACCATGTTTCTCTCTCTTTCTCTCTCATATATATATATATATATATATATATAATGCAGATTTTTAAAAAATAATCCAAAGCGCTGCACTTGAAAATAGTGTAATAACTGAATATAGCTAAATTTGAATAGGAGTGTTATCATTAAGAGTATTATTACCATCTGTGAGTTTTAAATATCTTTGATGTGAAGAATATCTGTTAATAGAATTATGGTTAGTATGTCGGACTTGCATTGGGTCTGTTGTTCAGTTGCTATGTCACAGTTAGCTTTATCTAACAAATTGTCCTATCCTTTGACATCTTTTATTAAGAATTCAAATATGTGTGCCTAAGTTTTATGTCATTCACAAGTGAAATGCTTTGATTGCAATTGTTTCTATTATAACTATTTAGTTTTAACCATGTTGGTAAAAATGAAGTTGGATAGATTTAGTCAGCTGAGAACATATACTTCTTGGATGAGGCTCACCTTTTAAAAATTCTCTTAACTCTTGAATGACTACATAACTTTGCACAGTAAAATTTATAGATTAGCAGAAAACAAATTTGAAAATGCTGTTGTTGAATGTGAGATTTCTTTAAACAGCAAATTTCATACAAAGTATAGATCTTCTTTCAAAATGACTAAGTACTTCTCTATTGGTAAAGCTTTGAGTATAAAACTCATTGTTGTCGATGGCAAATAGCACCTATAATTATACATTTAATAGCAGTTATCAACTTGTTAATAATGCTTACATTGATTCTTAACTCCTGACAATCTCCTTTCTTTCCTGCCCAATTTTTCAATACTTGTTGAAATAGGTTTTGATCAGATAAAAAATAGCACCAATTCTAAAGGAAAGGCAACTGAATCTTAAAACAAGAAAAGAACAAACCACCATTGCCCGACTACGCATTGGACACACAAGACTGACTCACTCTTTCATACTAAAACAAGAACCTACTCCTAAATGTTCCTGTGGAAAACAATACACTGTAAAACATATACTAATAGAATGTACAAACCTCGTGCACATTCGTAGAAATTTCTATAACACGAAGAACATGAAGAAATTATTTGCAAAAACTGAACCAAAAAATATATTGGATTTTCTAAAAAGAATTGGTCTCTTATCAAAGATGTAGACTGATAGATAAACAACATATCCTACCTTTTACCATTTTGCAAATAAATTGTCCTTATCAAATGGAAATTCTTGATTTAAACACAAATACCTAGGATTATTTTGCAGTGTGCAAGCAAATAAGCTCTAGCTTGCTAAAAATGTTCTATACAAAATAGGCATTTAAAATTCATATATTTGGCATATATATATATAAACTGGATTTGGCATTAAATAACCCACAATGGTTGATATGCCATAAAACCCAAACAAACCAAACCAAAAAAAATTAAAAATTTGTAGTTCATTATCAAATTTAGCATTTAAATGTGTATATTACCATGGTAATTTTCTTTAGCTGGTAGTCCTGTGAACACAAGTTGGGGAAGAAATTCAACTGTATGCTCATTCCATAACAGTCACGTGCAAACTTTGCACAAAAATCAAATTTTGTATTGTGACAATATTATCTATGAATTCCTAATTGATGTAAAGGTCCATTTGATTTTGAAATAGTTTCTTTCAATTCACAGTTAAATCACTAAAAACTTTAAAAAAATCTTCTACTACTATGTATATAGTCACATATTTATATACACATTAATTTCATAGCTTTTCTGTCAGAAAGTATAATTTTAAAATTATTACCAGACATTGCTTGTTATATATTTAATAAATTTAACTTCCATGTTTCCAAAGTCAGATTGGATTAACAATTTTCTTGGTTTAATAGATTATGCTGTAATCTCTCAACAAAAAACACTTCCAACCCACCTGACATTAGTATGATAGATTGAAAGAAGCATAAATAGTAAATAACATCTTTTCATCCAAAAATCCTCAAGTTATATTTTTAAGATTTTCCTATGAATAGAACATGCCTTAGTATATTTTTCTTGTATTACTTTTGGTAATCCATATTCTATTTTGTACTTTTTACAGATATAAGTCCTTTAAAAAATAAACACATGCACACATATATATATATATATATATATATATATATCATTATGAAGAATTTGGTGAAATAAATTATAGTAATGGTACCTTAAAGTGTCTGTTTTTCATTATACATATAATATGGTAATCTGTAAAATTTGCATTTTTCAGGTTATGTTTGATGAAGTTTTAACCATTCTGTCTCTTTTATGACCTATAAATGAATACAAGATCATAAGAGACACAAAAACTTAACAACAAAGCCAAGAAATTATTAAAACATGCAGACAATTCCTGGTTAAAACTCCTCAAATAACACCTGTATAAAAAAAAAAGAAAGAAATCTCAGCACACAAAGTAATTCCCAAGGGAGTATAATGAATAGGCATATTGGTGGAAAAAGAACTTGGTGTCAAAATAAGAGCATTTGTGTTATATAATAATATGATGTACACACTAATGTTTGCTGTCATCAGATGGTTGGTACTTGTGTGTGTATATATATATATATATATATATATATATATATATATATATATGGTTGGTACACTAAGCTACTATCCCCTCCCCTCCATCATTTTTTACAGTATGCCCTTTGCAAGTGTTTGATTGTTCTTAATAAAGGAATTCCATCAATAAAATCTTCTTGTGTGGTCATTGCTCAGGGTTAAATTGTTTCAATGTTTTAGATATTCATTAAATTTCCCATGGCCATAATAACTTTCAAATAGTATAGCATTGTTCACAAATCTAATAATCAAACTAAAACAGGGATGAAGTGCCAGAACTGCAAGTGCAAAAGTATGAATGTACCCCTCCTTCTTTTACTATAAAGCTAGGGTTAGGTTCTTCAGGAATTTTTCCCTTTTAATGCTTCAGTAATCCTTCTCAAACAATCTTTGCATCAAAGATTGTTTGAATGCCAATTTAGGATGGAATCATATGAAGAAAATATTGGTTAAATGGCAAAAGCTGATTTTGGACTTAGTTTGCTGCAGATTTTCTTCCACTTCACTGAAATAATCTTAACCAAACATGCATGCAAGACAATTTGTGTGCCATGTAATTTATATAGCAGATTTGGAAAGCATCAAATGAAAAACCAGGGAATTATGGCAAAAAAACTGGCTTTTTGAACAGTTTTTTGTGTTTTTTTTTTTTTTTTTTATATACACTGGGAAGCCAGCAGGACTAAAACCACACTATCTTATTTCTTGCATGATGTCAAATTTTTTGTGACATGTTTTAAAAAATTGGATAAATAATGAGGAAGTTATTCAAGTTTTTTATTTTAAGTAATACAAAAAACACTATTTTTTTTTTTTTTTTTTTTTTTCAGTTTTTGTAATTTTTTGTGTGAAGCCAATGTTGCAGGAAAACTATCAGGCACTTGACATAAACCTCATAACATGAGCTATGTTTTGTATTAAGTGCAAAGAACATCTGCTCACCCAGTAAAAATTTTGTTTGCATGTAACTTTGCCTTAGTTTTTGCAAAAAGTTATACCCACCTTCAGCTTTATCGTTTTTTTTTTTCTTTTTGTTTTGTTTTTTTTCTGCTAAACCCAGGGGGCCTGGAGATTGAAAAGTTGGTCTTGACCTACCTTGATAAATTTGCAACATGTGTATATAATTTCATCAAAATCAGTTGAGAAATGTGGACATGCATAAATAGCATACACACACATCTTTTGTTTTTGTGTGTGTGTATATATATATATATATATATATATATATATATATATATATATATATATATATATATATATATACTCCTCATCGGTGTATGTATGTGATATAATTTGTCACCTTTTATTTATTTTTTTTTCCTTATATCTGAAAATTTGTTATTTGGAGGGGGAAACAATTTTAAAGTGTTAACTTTTTCTTTTCTTCTCCAGAGAATGAGAAAAAGAAGGAGAATACAAAGAAACAAATGAGTGGTTTGGCTGAGGACAACCCGAACAAAACAAAGAACATGATCTTGGCTGGCATTTTTGCTATCACAGCCATGGTTGGCTATGCCTTTGCAATAGGCCTCATCCAAATTGAACTGAGCGATAAGGAATCTGAGGAAGAAGAAAATCCAGAATTGCACAAATCGCAGCCAGAAACTGATAAGCATCATGAAAACCAGCAAACCTATGAGCAATTTGAACCTCTCTTTGAAGAACCAGGAGGAGAGGAATGAATAATTAGTGGGGCAGGGTTTGAATGTGACAGGTATGCAATATTGCATGTGAAGATTGTTATAAACAGTATTATCATATAATATTGTCTGTGCAATTAATACATGCCACATTATTAAAGAATATTTTATGTACAATATTGCAGTCATTGATAATATACAATATTGCTTATTTGATAATTTTAACATCATCATATTTATCATACAAATTTCTTACTTCATTATTGTAAGAAACATTACTCATTGATAATGCCTGTACAATACTGAAGGTTATAAGATATTGTATATACTGATATATACAATTATTGGTGCTACTTAAGTATGTGATCTAATAGAACATCACTGAAGTATGTGATCTATGAGTTGAGAAATTTCTCTACATTAAAAACAGATATATATGGAATAAGACAAGAAAAAGTAGTTTTTATTTAATATAATATAATAATATACTAAGCAAATAATACCATAAAATAAAAAGAAACTAAAGGAGATTATTATTTTAACTAATTAAACTATTATTTTACTATCATTGTATGTAAACAGTTTGAATATCATTCAGAAATGCAATAAATAAATTTGGGGCATTGGATTGCATAGTTTTCTCTGGTCTATATACAAAATCCACCGGAAGCCTTCATTCACTGTGTGCTATTTACATGCTACTTAAGTAAAGTTGTGCATGGAGATAATTCTCTTTAAGGTAGATCACATATTTTAGAAGAATTATGCACGTAGATCACATACTTAAGTAGCACCCAATTATATAGTCAATGTCTTGTAGGCATTATTAATTTTGTTAAGTGTGTTATCATGTGATAATATCTCTGCAATATTACTTTTAGCCTGTATTATGTAATGTTGCTTCAGTGCCTCTGAGTTGCCTCCAATTATTCTTTTTTAATAGAAGAAGTTTCTCCATTTGAATTTTTTCCCTATTTTTTTTTCTTTTTAAATATGATACAAAAAGAAAACAAGCTTTTTTGATTAGCTTGTGCCTATTGTTTTAAAAGCAAAAAAAATATACGCATAATGAATATTTTGGATGGAGGTGATGAAAAATAAAAACTATAAACAAAAGAAAAATGAAATTATCTATATTTGAAAAAGAAAGTATTGAAATAAATCATCCAATTGATAGTCAACATCATTTAAAATGTGTGGTCAGTTCAGGCATCCATTTCTTGAAGAACTCCCCACCACCACACTCCTTACAATACTCAGGTTTTTAAGGTTTGTCTTATTTGTTTTTCTTTAAGTTAATTGATAAATCTTCCCACTTTCTATACCTCTGTGGTCAGTGGCTTTTTTTATATATTTATTTTTAACATTCAGCTTACATAAACCATTTTACATAAAATTATTAAATGTGAACATTTTAAGCGTTAAAAAGAATTTGTCATAAACTGTACAATTCATTGTAAAGTTCAGTTTTGGATTTCATTGTGTGTCAAATTTGGTTTTGTTGATGTAGCCAAATATCACACTTTAATAATTAAGTAAATCTTGCAACCAAAGTATTGAATGATATGAGAATTGTTTGATCCAGAATAATTAAAAACTTGTTATCTGATGAATATGAACATCTTTGTATATTGAGGAGTCTTTTGACTTCAAAAGCAGGCAGGTAGCCAAGATTTTGTTGTATATTGAGAAACATGATATTGCATCATGCCAAAATATGATATAAGTAAAAGAAAGGAGGAATCCTAATACACTGATTTATTCATATTGGTGTCCTCATTTTAATTGTTAGTCATAATATTTTTACCTTCATTAGTTGCTTGTTGCATTTGGTGTTATTGTCACAATCTTGAGCCAAACATGTATTTTATATATATATATATATATATATATATATATATATAGGGGTAGACTATTCTACAAGACAATGGTGCAAGCATTAGCTAAGCATCTATATAGTATAATTTCAGTCTGCATTTCTGGGAGGAGGAATTATTTATACACTGACTACTGTCTTTGCTATTGCAACATTTCATCTGTTATACTTGCTGGTCTTCATCTGGTGTTTGTCAATCTGGATAACCTACAAGGAATTTCAAATTGAACTCTTTATTTAATCTATGGGGGTAGATTGTTTTCATTCTGCTAACCAACCTAGGAAACCATCTATCCTCATAGAGTAAATAAAGGATTCATTTTGAAATTCCCTGTAGTCTGCATAGATCAACATCCACTTGTTGAAGGCCAGAGAGCACAATGGTAGAATCCTGATAACACCAAAAATGAGGGCAATAGTTCATATGTAAATATGAAGTTTCCTTGGCATGATTTTAATCCAAAGGTCATGAAGTAAAATTCATATAAACAGGTTCAACAGAGTAACAAATAGAAATTAAGAAAAAAAATAAACAAATCCCTTAGCATGGACAGTGGAATGAGTATTGAATAAAGAGTTTGGTTTGAGATTTCAAAAACATTACCAAGTTTTGGTGAGGTACCTGAAGAAGGCTAAGTATATCGGCTGAAAGATTATGACTATAACTATCAAATTGAGGACACCAGTTTGAATAAAACAGTTTATTATATGGCTGCTGAAAGTTTTAGACTTACCTGATGAAAATTGGTTTGTGAATTGGAACTTTCTACACTTTCAACTTTTGATAAAATTTAAATTTCCTATCAATCTTTCTTGTGATCCTGGGGATTAACTGTCTCTTTAATTTGTCATTGTTGCTTGTGAATATATAAATTCTTGGATGTTTTATTTCAGTAATTATTTTTATTTTACTTTTGACCATTTAAAGCAACATCAAAAATCTTAACCATAAAGACATCCATAAAATTGAATATATTAAAATCATGGCAGCATTAGATCTCTGCTTAAAGAAATATATCATTGTGTATAAATATGCATATTCTATGAAACCAGGAGGATGAATGGAAGAGAAGGATATTAACCATGCGGCTGGAATCTGTTTACTTCATGCAATGCACTGCTGAGAAAGCAAATGTTCTTGGAGCAGCAGCCCATTTAAGTAGTGCTTGGAGCATTAAGATTTTTTTTAAATTAAAAATGATTACTTGTATTTTGATGTGTTGCATTGGAAACAAGCGGTGATTTTTTTTTTTTTTTTTTTTTTTTTTAAGATTAATGTAAATTTCTTGTTAACCTCTCTGTCTGGCCAAGTTTGTTGTTTTTTTTTTTTTTTTTTTTTTTTTTTTTTTGTTTTTTTTCCTCTCTGTCCCTTTTTGGCTGTTGTCATTTGTTATTGGGACAAGAGAGGAAATTCCCCTCCCCCTTCCTTGTTCTTTTTATTAAATTTGTTTTAAATACTTTTTATGCTCTTTTTGAAAAGAAAAAAGATCATTTGTATAAAAAAAAAAAAAAATTAAAAATTAAAACGAAAAAATTGATAAGTAGATCTTAAAAACGTTTTTTTTTTTTCTTTTTACTTGGATTTGGTGTTTTATAAAAAGATTGTACACCAATAACCCATATGGAGTGGATTTGATACTCACTGGGAACTCTATAATTGTATTCTTGGGCCAGATTAAGGCAAGCAAGTATTATTTCAATGATGACTTTTATATATATTAATGCTGTTTTTGCTGTATGTCTTCAGATCATTTGTAAATCTCTGACATATAATGTTGGTTGACAAGTTTGCAATAGAAAATTTGTGCTTCATATTAGGCTATTTGATGGTTGCACCAAGAAACTCAGGAAAAAATTAAAATCTACAATGGTTGCATTTATATTTTGTATCTGAGGTATATGTTAAGTAAATTCTTTGTCATTTTGTATGAAGACAGTATAATTTTGTACAAAGTGTGGATTAATATTTCTTCAGCTTAGTTTAAATAGCTATTGTAACTTATGAGATTCTACTAATGCTCATAAACATGCATTTTGAACTACAACAACAATGTAACTCTAGAGAATTGCTACATAGATTTACATACCACTATGTTATAAGAGAAGGTTAGCCAGTCATTGCTGATATTGTTCACCCACTACCAACTCCAATTAGCAGCAGGAGACTTGTCACACCTGCCAATTAAAATTGAACTCTACCATGGAGCTTACATCTCTTTCAATTTCTCCTCAGGTGTAGTTTAGTGTTAGCTGCTTGGAGAACACTTGTCAGTTTGAACAGAGAATTACTGCCATTAATTTCTTTTAGATTCTATCTGAACAGGCTAAATCTATTTTGTTACAGAAAATCTCAAACTTTATTAGATAATTTGCTCTTTAATTTGGCATCACACGTTTTCAGTTCAGGATTTTATTATTGATGTGTAAAAGAAAGAAATTTGATCAAAATGCTTCAATGAAAATTGACATCACTAAACTAAATTGTAATATTTACACATGCTAGTAGCTCTTTATTTTACTTCCAATTATAAATTAACTTAAAGAATGTTATTAGTTTTTACAAATATTTCTTTCATTTCTATTTATTTTTTTCTATTACAACTCTACAACTATTATTTGAAATAAGCTCCTAGTAAGATTTGAACTTGCCTCCATTACCATGGTAGCCTGTATTACCTTGACAACACCTTACTGATTAAGTTGCAACAATTAATCAAGAGGCATTCAGATTTAGCTATGTAGCTGTATCCTTTCCTAATTAACTTTAGTAGCTTAACTGCTAAAGTGTTGTGATGGTAATTCACAAGGTACCAAAGATAATTACTGCTGAGTAGCAGTTTGATCCTTACTGGGTGCCCCACCCCTGTAGTCTTATGCCAGAACTATGGTAGATTTAGTAAATAATAACACACAATTACTTTTTTTTTTTTTTAAGTATAAGGAATACTTTATACCCATTCAATATAGCAAATGACTTGGTGTTGCATTTTATGGCAAGTTATCCAGAAATTTCTTTGCTTTTTCTCGGCTATTGCCAAAGAAATTAGAACATATACTTGGCTACGATATTTTTAATGCAATGAAGAAGTGGTGTCTAATAAAGGTAGATCTGTTAGGTTTCAATGAATTATCAATTTTGGGCCATGAATAGTTAGAAACCTAAGTCATAAATTGAGTGCTAGAAAGTTTGTCACACTATTAGCATCATCAAATTGATCCTTATTGAATGTCCTACTATTGTGGCCCAGTGCCATTCTTAGATAAGGTTAGTAACCCAGACAGGAGGATACATGCACACAAAATATATTCAGCTTTAAAACAAAATTATTGCATAACATTGGGTGGCATTAAAAGTTTGTAGTGTTTTTCAATAGGTGGTGTTTGAACATGGGATTTCATTTCACTTGTAAAATTGGAAGTGTATTGTGTATTGCAAGCCACTTCTACAAAATCAGATGTTGAGTTCAGATAAGTACTGTTCTCAGTTGAACTGATTAAAAGGCAGTAATCAATGAAAAGCATTCACAATTGGCCTGTTGGAAGGGTACCATCTTCCCTCAGGACAAAGCCAGACCCCACATCTCTTTGCAGGTCTGGCAGAAATTGGTACATTTTCATTGGGTTTTTCTACTACACCTGCCATGCTCACCTGATCTTGCATGTTCGAATTATGACTTATTTCAATTCCTACAAAATTCTCTTAATGGGAAGAACTTCAATTTTCTGGTAAAAACCAATTAAACTAGTTCATCACAGAGAAAGATGGAATCCTGAAGCTGCTTCAAAGATGGTGAAACTTAAAACAAAGTGGCACATGTGTAGTTGAATAAATCTGTGTACAAATATCTAAATATTGTTTTTGAAATTATAAAATGCTACTGACTTTTGTTTCGGTCTAGTAGATGTTTCCTATGCAACTAATGAAAGGATTGTGGAATTTATGTTGACTTGATAATCCTGACTACAGTTAATCTAATTCATGTCTCCTAGAACCATTTGTGTTATTTTGATTCACAGTATTAAAAAATAAGAAAATTTCATTAGAAACTAAAGAAAATAAAACAAAAAAGGTTTCTAAACTGCTATGTAATATCAATCCCCCTATATAGCACTGAATGTTGGGCAATTCTTTATCAAATTAAGAGAATTGATTGATTCTGTCTATATTTCTGAGATGAGGTATTATGTACACTATTTACATTGTTTGGACTATCATCTTCATCTTTGTTGCCATATGAAGACAATATGGGAACCAATAATAAAGAGTGCCAGAGAAAAGCAATAACAAAAATTGCAATATGAGCTCTGGTAAAAAAAATATGCAATGGATACACAAAAATTGCAATATAAGCACTGGTAAAAAATGGTTGTTGAAGACATTAGGTTTATAATCCCCAGAAATTTATGCACATATGTCCTCAAGGACACATGGCACAGTGTATAAAGGTGTTAGTTAGATCCAGCAACAAGACCCAGAGAGTGTGAGGTCAATACCTGGTTAAGGCGGTGGAGAACTTGGAGAGGGGAATTAACAAGTGATAAATGATAACTGACATCCCTTAGACATGGCACGTGGAACTAGAACAGTCAACCCCAGCGAGCGAAATAAAGGGTTCAGTTCAACATTCCAACCACCTGAAGAAGGCCGAGGCATACAACGGCTGAAATTGATTGATTCGTTTTCTACAGTTTATCAACCCTTCGCCCGAAAATAGTTTTAGATTGTAAGAATTTTTTTGTGGGTGCGGGGATAATTTAGTGATAAAAGTCTTACTAATTAACCCATAGCGGGGGTAGGTGGATTCATATCTCACCAACGTTATTTGCGTGTAAGTGAATATAACAACCCCAACGCGAACTTAAACAGCTCTCCAAGCCATTATCCATTACACCACCATCACATCCAAGCTTATAGTACCTGATATTCCCAAGTGGTCACACATCTGGGTACTGACCAGGCTCGACGTTGCTTAACTTAAGTGATCATATGAGAACCGGTGTTTCAACGTGATGTGGCCTTAAGCCTGATTAAAAAGAGAATTGATGCAACAGAGACGTGGTTCTACAGAAGGATACTGAGGATACCATGGACGGAACATGTGAGCAACGATGAAGTTTTAAGGAAAGCAGAAACAAAAAGGAAACTTACTTAGAATCACAGAGACATTTGAAATTTCTGGAATACACTGAGGAAATAGGGCTTGGAGAATTTGACACTCGCAGGATACACTGAAGGTAAGAGGTGTAGAGGGGATTAGCGAGTAACCTATTTAACAAGCTCGTGTAAATGGATTACTCAGAGAGATAGTAAAGAGATCTACAAAGAGTAGAATGTCACGGAGATTCATAATCGCCTACGTCCCGAAGGGTCACTGCATATAAATATTAACATTTCTAGAAGTATTTTAGAGATGTCGAAGTAATTTGAAATTGACTGAAATAGTATAAAAATAATTTTTCTCTAGTTTTCTGCTTACTAAAATAACTTAGAAAATAAAAAATAAGATCGTTCAGTGCAATAAATCAACTTTAAAATGACCGAACCGTCGAGAAACCCTATAGAAACGGATCCGTTCTAAACACTTCTTTTGTGTATAAGACGTTGAAAAGGGCGGGAATTTACAGCTGCACAAGAAGCATTGCCGTCCGTGAGTGGACATGGGATCCGTAAGTCCAGCCCTCGTGATTTTCATCAAACAGGTTTATAAATCAGATTTAGTCTTGGCAACCGGATAGGAGTCATGTAGGCCGATGACCTCATCATTTTGATCGTCTGTTGAGATAATTGCAGAAATTCCTTAATCGAAAGAGAGAAAGGGGGGAGGCATGTATTTGAAATAGGAAGAAATAAAGAGCGAACGGAAGAGATAGAGAGAGAGAGAAAAAAAGAAAGACTTTAGACAGAGCGAACGAAATAACAAATGGAATAGATATATAGAGAGAAAAAAGGAAGACACAAAAAGAGAAAGAAAGAAGAAAAAGAGAAACGAAAATTTATATATATTAGAAAGTGGGGAAAAGAATGAGATTCCGAGAAAGTGCTCATCTAGTAATAAATAAGTGAAGAAATAAGGTAAAAAAAGATAGAGAGTGGGAGGAAGAGAAGGGAAGAAAAAATAAAATAAAATGAGAAAATCTACGTTACCGATCAGTCGAAAAATATTTTTATTCCAAATTGATTGGAAGAAAATGGATTTCAAACATGGGTAACCGTTTAGGACTGAATATTGGGTTTGAGTGAATCAAGAAAATGTTCAAGAATCAGACTAATGGACTTATAAATTTCATCCACGCAACTATAAAACGAAACGCATATCCATATATACAAGGTGGCGTTAACAAAAATCGAAGCAGATGACCAAACACCAGTCATACCGAGAGCTTTTCAGCACTCCTTTGTGTATATATATATATATATATATATATATATATATATATAATTACTTAAATGTTATTATGGTGGATACTCAAATTTGAAATAGGCACTCCATTTTTTTAAACAGTGTATTGCGTCTATCAGCTCATTCGAATTTTAATAAAGAAAATGCATTCTCCTGCAGGGATCGAAGCTGCATCCCCTTTTCCCTGTTTGAAAACATTTTCTTTATTAAGATTTCTCAAATGCTCGGGCTGATAGACGTAATACACTGTTTTAAAAATTAAAAATAGGGCGTCTATTTCAAATACGAGTGTCCACTATAATAACGTTTGATGCCTTGATGGTCAGCATTCAAAATCCTGCTTTTTTTTTTCTGGACTTGGAACACCATCACTGGCTCGAGAAATACGTTTATCTTATGACAAGTCCAAATTAGAAGTGTAGGAAAGAAGCTTGGAAGATTGTGTTACGCCAATTTTTAAAGCGTTGTAAGTCGATTTGCCCAGACAAATCTGCATTAGGATGCACTTTTTTTTTGTTAGACTTCGAGCACAAATTCCCAGCATAGGTGGCAAATTCGCGCCTATTGTCGTCAATAGTCAGGCTACGTGTAGTTATTTACTAAGTTTAACTTAGTCTGGCAAAAGGCCACAATAGTGAGGTAAGTAGTGAGCACTTAGTTTGCAAAACGAACTTACAAAACATCACTCTTGGGCACCTCGAGGTGGTGTAATGGTTAGCAAGCTTTTCTCGATAGAACAATTACCACTGAGTAGTGAGCTCGATCCTCACTGGGTGCCTTCTACTTTCGGCCTTGTGCCACATCTAAGCTACGCTTGGCGAATCACTACAAAACATCGCACTATGGTAGGCGCTATTTTTTACTAGATAAAATAATAATAATATACGAAGTACACCGACCTCTGGATTGAGGTCACCAGAATGTATGGTGTTCAGGTCATTTATTGTCTTAGTTATTGTTGGGTTCTATACCACTAAACATAAAATCCTACGAGGATCAGAATAAAGCCTACTATCCAATCGTTTCAGAAGCCTGGGTTGTTTGAAACTGCAAATATTCTGCGAAAGGTAAATCGTAAGATGTGATGGAGAACACCTATAATAAAAGAGCTCTAGTTGAAAAACCGCGCGGGGAAAAAAGAAAATAATGATAATAACCAGTAATAGACGTAAAAAATTCCATGGTTTTCTACTTTACTGAGGAATCTTAATTCTTAAGTTAATGATTGACTAAGCTTTTTGCAAGTTCTACGACGATAAGATACCAGTGGAAATTCCCCTATTGCATCATTAAATATTTGAGCTTAACTTTAACAAGATAACGGAATAATAATCATAAGTATTCAGCAGGTCATTATTTAAAGAAGCAAAAGGTTCAATTTAAAAGATTCAAAATTGACAAGGTTTTGCATTTCACTGAAGCGCACGAGAGCGTTATTGCCTCTTCTCTGTTCTTTCTTTTTTCTCCCATTAAAACCAAACGTTATCTCTGATCTATCTTTTTCTTCCGTCTTTCTAAGGAATGGTAATGATAAAAAAAAAACTCTACTTGGTTTTTCAAAGAATCTAAACATCTGTTAAAAATTAGTCCAAGATTCAATCTTTTAAGACAACTGTGAACTGATTTTTGAGAGAATTGTCATCGACTAAATTTTTGCAGTTCGTTGTTCGTAAGGATTTATAAAGATGTCATTACATTTTAGATAAGAGATGATGTTTTTTGCGCACTTACAATGCACTAACCGACTTAATATAATGGAGTCGTTTAGATAATGACGGCATTCAGCACTTAGATCTCAGTGAAGCATTGTCCGTGTTTTCCAATCCAGATCGTGATCCAATACATTTCCAAGTCATAAAATGGAAACAAATGAATAAATTAGTGTCTTGTGATATCGGCGACGACGCGTTTTGCTTGTGGCTTGACCTTTTGCTTTGCACAGTGAATTGCCCCTAGGTACACGTCTGCGAGATGTCATATCAGCTTTCTCATTTCGCAATGATCTATTGATCCCCGATCTGTCTGCTACGCTAATATAGGGGACAGTTGGAAAATACCGGGAAATAGTTTTTCAGAAAATTATACTGGGACCTTACTTAAATATACTACAGCGCAAATATAAGCAATTTACTAGATGGTGAATACGAAGATGGGGAGGGGGTCTGATCAGAGTTCTTGTCGACGATGAGATGTTTTAGTTTTTGATGACTCCTGGGCAGGAAAAGCAGTTATGGAAGAATTGTTTGTCCGAATGTTTGCTCATTCATGCCTCTCCGTGGATCATCGTGGTATGCCTGTGACAAAAGGTTTCGTTACGATTTCTGGATATGGAACTAAGTGCATGTACGCTAATGCGTCTTAAAAAAGAATGAGAATGACCTATCCCTTTAGAATGCGGCCGATCATAGCTCTCCACAACATTCTGTCCTTTGTAGTTCTTAGTAATGATATGTCTTGTGAGTATCAAATTCTCCACGCCTCCTTTCTATATTATTTGTCCAAAATATTTCAACCGTTTTTTGTTGTGGCTGTTTCTTAGTATAAGCGTCATTTTTGCTTCATTTTTTCTTTCAAACTTGCTCGCTGCTTACGTGTTCCGTTCATGGTATTCTTAGCATCCTTCTATAGAACTACATCAGTCGCCTCAAGTTTCCTCTATATTTGCGAGGAAATTGTCACGAAAACTACAGACTGGGCAGACAGTTGGAAACTGGCTTTTCGCTGGGAACTTTTCCACAGAGTTAATTAGCAAACAATAGAAAGAAACTCAGCAGTTTGTCACGTTTTAAATTTTAACTGCATTTTTCAAATTTATTTGCCCTGTGATCTTGTAACGAAGTTATGTTTTTACATTTTGACTTGGAAAAATCACTTCGTAAAAAGATAAAACATAGCAACGGTAGCGATTAAGCAAAGCTTTTATTTTAGTTTATATTGTGGAGTTTTGGTAGGATTTTCTTTACTGGAAACTTTGGAATAAAAAATATTATTTATTTTATATCCTTGAGTGTACTGACTCAAGGATATAAGATAAATAATGTTTTTTTTTAATTTATTTGCTTTAGAGTAACTTCTTTGATATTCGATGTAACAAAATGTACATTTATAAGGCGGATGTTGGTAGAAGTTTGGAGAGAATTCGATTCGGTTCGGTATTCGAGAATTTGGAGTCAGCACTTGATAATAGTCGTAGACATCTTAGAAATAGCTAAGTGTCAATCTACTGTATTTTTCTCGACCCTAAGCAGAGCAGAAGTATGATTAGAAGATGACTTCGTAACTACTACTTCACGCGTCAGACATACCTGGTTTCTCCGGCAGTCGGGTCTTTTGTTGTTACTTCTGCCGTCCCTTCTCGTCTAGCTCAAAAGTGTGAGCTTATATGCTTTTGACCATGCACCGAAACTCTGGCGCGAACAGTGGTTTCGGCTAACATCAAAAGTCTCTTTCGTTAATTTTTTGATTGGACAAAATTATTTTATTTTGCAGCGTTCCTTTCTTTTTCATTTTTTTTTTATAACGGAAGTTATACGTGGAACCTCCCTGATTTTTGTAGTTTTCAATTACAAATTAGTAGGCTCTGGTCCCATAAACTTCCGGCGTGTTTCGGCCGGGTT